TTGAAAATTCCTGCTCTTGCCCTTGTGATCATAGGGTGTTCTAACATATTCCTTGCTCTTAGTTCTGTTTCAACTTCTTCAGTATTCTGAGGTAGCTCAGTTTCTATTTCAGCTTCATGATTGTTTATATTTCTGTCCAGGCTGGTGATTCCAATGTCGTTTGAATCACCATTACTGTCATCACCCTGATTGTTGCTTGAGCTATGAGGTGTGTGATGTAGTGCATTGTCTGCCTCTGGAAGGGCTGAATCAACAGGATTTGACACAGATTCAGGATGCTGGGACTGAAATGGTGACTGAAAAGGAAATTGAAAACATGACACTATGGTTTCAGGCTTCACAGAAGATTGATGATTTTGTTTTGAGAACATTGATTCAAAAGGGAATTCGAGCTCATTAAAGATGACATGTCTGGAAATGTAGATTTTTCCTGTTGAAGTCAGGCACTTGTACCCTTTATGGGAGTCACTATAACCAATGAATATGTACTTAATTGAGTGAAAACTGAACTTATGCTTTTGGTAGGGCCTGAGACAGGGATAGCAGGTGCAGCCAAAAATTTTCAGAAGTTTGTAGTCTGGTTCTTTGCCATAGAATGTCATAGAAGGTGATTTCATTTGAAGCACAGGCGTAGGCAGCCTGTTGATGAGATAGGTGGCTGTTTGAAAAGATTCCCACCAGTACTTCAATGGCATTTTGGCTTGTGCAAGAAGTGTTAGACCCATTTCTGTAATATGTCTATGTTTTCTCTCAATCCTACCATTTTGAGCTGAGATATGAGGGCAAGGATGTCTGAATTCAATACCTTCTTGATTTAGGAATTTTGTGAAAACTCTGTACTCCCCACCCCAGTCAGATTGAAGGACTTTTATCTTCTTCCCAAGCTTGTTTTCTACTATCTTTTTGAATTGAATAAAAACACCTAGAGCTTCAGATTTTTGTCTTAGAGGGTAGATCCAAATGAATCTACTGAAGTCATCAAGGAAAGTTATATAGTATTTGAAGCCACATGTGGATTGAATGGGTGCTGGACCCCATAGGTTAGTGTGCACGAGTTCAAGAGGTAAGTTGGCATGTGAAACTGAAGAGGAGAAAGGTAGTCAGTGGGATTTACCGAATTGACATGCATCACAGAAGAGATTGCTTTCATTTTCTTTGAATTTTTTATTACAGAATTTGAGAACTTGGGACACCACTTGACTAGAAGGGTGTCCAAGCCTCTTGTACCATACATGAGTTTGGGAATTTAAAGACTTCTGACTTGACTCTAGATTAGGATTAACAGATAGAGCATTACAGCAATAGTTATTTGAAAAATTAGAAGACTGAATGAGATGACTCTGAAGAGGATTTTTGGTGTTTTTGAAAGGCAAATCCAGTTGATATATCCCTTCCTTAAGCGTCACTTGCAGCATCACTTCCCTCGTTAGCTGATCCTTAACAAAACAATGGTCAGAATGAAATTCCATATAAACTCTGTTATCAGAGGTCAACTGAGAGACACTGATGAGATTTTTCTTAATTTCAGGCACAATAAGTAAGTTGTTTAATACAAGAGTTCTATCATTTATGATTGGAAGATAACTTTTACCAAAGTGTGAAATTGATAGTTTATTTCTATTTCCAACCATAACTTTTTCCTTACCATTGTATTCGTTGGCTGTGGTTAGGTTCTGTTTGTTTGATGTGATGTGATTGCTGGCTCCCGTATCAGCAAACCAAGCTGGGTCATTCAGAGTACTGGGGGTTGCTATGTAGGCTGATGGAGCTGATGAGTGATTGTAAGATAACTTCTGATTAGGTGCAGATCCAGTATACCTTTCATCAAACCTGAAATTGCAAATATTAGCCTTGTGACCAATTTTTCCACAGACTTGACATGTAGGTCTATCTCC